TATCCCCATTAGCCAGCCAAACACCTGGGGTTTTTGCCTCATGAATAATGTATAGTGAAATTGGGAGTGTGTAAGTTTTGCCAAATGAACAAAGCAAATGTTTGCTTAATTGTATCCAGTAGGCTGGATTTACAAACAGCTGCAACCCTTCATTCTACTCTTACAACTTTATTACATGGCCTCTGTAACAGACAGCATCAGATAAATACAGTATATTGTCCCAAAAATGATTTCCTCAACAGTGGTCATGAGCAATATAATGCCCAATATAGGGCATATAAATCAACAGAGGTGATAATAGATATTTTCTGGCTATTGCTAAGACTTGTAGGATGTTCATTGGGGTGGCTCATGCCCAACTTCCATAGACTTTCAATGGAAGTTGGGTGCCTACCTGCCCTGTATGGCTGTGGAAATCTCCCCCAGAAAGTATACATTCTCTGGGGTCTGGAGTATAGTACTGGAAGAGAAGAGTTATAGGTTCTACTCCCAGCTAGGTTCGGCATCTACTCAGTTTAGGCCTGATCCAATGCCTGAACGATTCCCATTAACTTTCAACAGGCTATTTGAGCTAAAGGCTGGAGACTTCAGGGAACTTGTATTCTAGGCATAGTGTAATTGATTTTTCTATTTTCCAGCTTTCTCCAGGTTTTTTACTTCTGGACCAATGTCACCAACTGTGTTGAATTCACTGTAAAGAAAATCACTTAAAAGGAAACAGACTTGTGAAAAAGTAGCAACTGCTGGAAGAAAAAGGAAGAGAGAAAGAGAAGCATCCGACCTAACAACATATATGTGAAATTCATGCCCTAAAACCTCATTTAGCTGGCTGAACACTGCAAAAAAGCTTTTATTTATATTCTCCCAAATATTCAAAGTCATTCATACTCATTCCCTCTTTGTATTCACTGATTGTGAACATTTCTGATCAACATTTATTATCATGATCATTTTTCAATAGTGACTTACAAAGTCACATGCAACAGTATCCACAAACCAGGGTGTGAAATTTGCATGAGTATTTGTATACACATCCAATGAGGAAACAGAAATAATTCCATGGGTCTTATAATCAATCAGAACTAACCAACACCACTTGAATAGCCAATATCAAATAACTGGAGAAATATCAACCTCTACCATTGGCCAATATATTTGGGAAAAAACACTATTTGCTCATGGATATTTTGTGAACAGAAAAAGCAGCTAAATCGCTTGTGAATTATTTGCTCAACTCTACTTTTCAATTTCTTGCTCATATCTAGGTAAGTATAAGAACTGTTCATTTAATAGTACCCTCAACCAAACAATTTTCACGGTTTAATTGAATATATTCTTGAATCTTGATTAAACAATAAAACTTTTACAGTATGTACAATGGCATCAAGAAGGGCAAGGTTCTTCACCCTGCTCATGAACCAAACAGGAACTCCCCCTTTGATAACTCTAACCCTTTTGGTAAGCCTGAGAATTGATTTTTAAACATTAATAGCAATTTGTTCCATTCAACAATCTGTTGGGGAAAAAAATACAGGACAAAAAGTCATCACCCGTATGCTTGAACCAGGTTCTCTTTTGTTCTGAGGTGAATGATTGATTGATTTGCATTCCCATTTCTTCTCTGCTAAAATTAGCTGATGGTTTCTCAGTGTCAAATAATAATTTGCAATGGTTGGATTGTCTATTATCTTTTACCTGGTGAATTATGAAACACATACTGTCCTGACTTTCATTCAAACAAACAGATTGTCCTTGGTAGATGTCACTGATTCACATGTCTAAATAGCCTGAATATAAATGTTACACATCTCTACTCTACTTAAACCTGATCTGCAGTCTATCCCATTGTTGATGTTATGTTTATACAATAATATGAATAAAAGAAATTGAGTAAGTTAGTGGTACATGTAGCTTCTAACTTAAGTTTCATTGTATTTGGGTAACGGTTTCTAAAGAGCCTAGGAGACTTAGGAGCCCAAATCCCATTTTTCAAAACCAACAGGCACTTATGGCCAGTTTTCCAAAGTATTTGGCTGCCTAAAGATGCAGATAAAATGTACAAAAGTGCCTAAGTGAGAAAGGTACCTAACTCTCATTGAAAGTCTATAGGACTTAGTGTCCTAAATCACTTAATTACCCCTTTTGAATATTTTATCCTTCATCTTTACATTTCCAAGAGTTTACTGCCTAAAGACAACAGTTACCATTCTGGCAGGCAGAGAGGATGCAGCCTATTACAGATCTGAGAAAAAAAAAACATGTTTCATGGACCTTATGTGTTTTAGAGTAACAGCCGTGTTAGTCTGTATTCGCAAAAAGAAAAGGAGTACTTGTGGCACCTTAGAGACTAACCAATTTATTTGAGCATAAGCTTTCGTGAGCTACAGCTCACTTCATTGGATGCATACTGTGGAAACTGCAGAAGACATTATATACACAGAGACCATGAAACAATACCTCCTTCTTCCCCCCCCCCTCTCTCCTGCTGGTAATAGCTTATCTAAAGTGATCACTCTCCTTACAATGTGTAAGATAATCAAGTTGGGCCATTTCCAGCACAAATCCAGGTTTTCTCACCTTCCCCCCCCTCCCAACACACACACACACAAACTCACTCTTCTGCTGGTAATAGCCCATCCAAAGTGACCACTCTCTTTACAATGTGTATGATAATCAAGTTGGGCCATTTCCAGCACAAATCCAGGTTTTCTCACCCCCCCCCTTTTTCCAAAAACCACACACACAAACTCACTCTCCTGCTGGTAATAGCTTATCCAAAGTGACCACTCTCTCTACAATGTGCATGATAATCAAGGTGGGCCATTTCCAGCACAAATCCAGGTTTTCTCACCCACCCCCCCCACATACACACACAAACTCACTCTCCTGCTGGTAATAGCTCATCCAAACTGACCACTCTCCTTGGTGGCAAATACTCACCAACAACCACATACCACACAACAGAACCACTAACCCAGGAACCTATCCTTGCAACAAAGCCTGTTGCCAACTGTGCCCACATATCTATTCAGGGGACACCATCATAGGGCCTAATCACATCAGCCACACTATCAGAGGCTCGTTCACCTGCACATCCACCAATGCGATATAAGCCATCATGTGCCAGCAATGCCCCTCTGCCATGTACATTGGGCAAACTGGACAGTCTCTACGTAAAAGAGTAAATGGACACAAATCAGATGTCAAGAATTATAACATTCATAAACCAGTCGGAGATCACTTCAATCTCTCTGGTCACGCAATTACAGATATGAAGGTCGCTATCTTACAACAAAAAAACTTCAAATCCAGACTCCAGTGAGAAACTGCTGAATTGGAATTCATTTGCAAATTGGATACTATTAATTTAGGCTTAAATAGAGACTGGGAGTGGCTAAGTCAAGGTAGCCTATTTCCCCTTGTTTTTTCCTAACACCCCCCCCCCCACAGACGTTCTGGTTAAACTTGGATTTATTCTGGAAATGGCCCACCTTGATTATCATACACATTGTAAGGAGAGTGGGCAGTTTGGATGAGCTATTACCAGCAGGAGAGTGAGTTTGTGTGTGTATGGGGGGGGGGCGTGGTTGGGTGAGAAAACCTGGATTTGTGCTGGAAATGGCCCACCTTGATTATCATGCACATTGTAAGGAGAAAGAAAAGGAGTACTTGTGGCACCTTAGAGACTAACCAATTTATTTGAGCATGAGCTTTCGTGAGCTACAGCTCACTTCATCAGATGTTTACCGTGGAAACTGCAGCAGACTTTATATACATACAGAGAATATGAAACAATACCTCCTCCCACCCCACTGTCCTGCTGGTAATAGCTTATCTAAAGTGATCAACAGGTGGGCCATTTCCAGCACAAATCCAGGTTTTCTCACCCTCCACCCCCCACACAAATTCACTCTCCTGCTGGTGCTAGCCCATCCAAAGTGACAACTCTTTGCATAATCAAGTCGGGCTATTTCCTGCATAGATCAAGGTTTTCTCACATCCCCCCACCCCCATACACACACAAACTCACTCTCCTGCTGGTAATAGCTCATCTAAACTGACCACTCTCCAAGTTTAAATCCAAGTTAAACCAGAACATCTGGGGGGGGGGGGGGGGGGGGGTAGGAAAAAACAAGAAGAAACAGGCTACCTTGCATAATGACTTAGCCACTCCCAGTCTCTATTTAAGCCTAAATTAATAGTATCCAATTTGCAAATGAACTCCAATTCAGCAGTTTCTCGCTGGAGTCTGGATTTGAAGTTTTTTTGTTTTAAGATAGCGACCTTCATGTCTGTGATTGCGTGACCAGAGAGATTGAAGTGTTCTCCAACTGGTTTATGAATGTTATAATTCTTGACATCTGATTTGTGTCCATTTATTCTTTTACGTAGAGACTGTCCAGTTTGACCAATGTACATGGCAGAGGGGCATTGCTGGCACATGATGGCATATATCACATTGGTGGATGTGCAGGTGAACGAGCCTCTGATAGTGTGGCTGATGTTATTAGGCCCTGTGATGGTGTCCCCTGAATAGATATGTGGGCACAATTGGCAACGGGCTTTGTTGCAAGGATAAGTTCCTGGGTTAGTGGTTCTGTTGTGTGGTATGTGGTTGTTGGTGAGTATTTGCTTCAGGTTGCGGGGCTGTCTGTAGGCAAGGACTGGCCTGTCTCCCAAGACTTGTGAGAGTGTTGGGTCATCCTTTAGGATAGGTTGTAGATCCTTAATAATGCGTTGGAGGGGTTTTAGTTGGGGGCTGAAGGTGACCGCTAGTGGCGTTCTGTTATTTTCTTTGTTAGGCCTGTCCTGTAGTAGGTAACTTCTGGGAACTCTTCTGGCTCTATCAATCTGTTTCTTTACTTCTGCAGGTGGGTATTGTAGTTGTAAGAAAGCTTGACAGAGATCTTGTAGGTGTTTGTCTCTGTCTGAGGGGTTGGAGCAAATGCGGTTGTATCGCAGAGCTTGGCTGTAGACGATGGATCGTGTGGTGTGGTCAGGGTGAAAGCTGGAGGCATGCAGGTAGGAATAGCGGTCAGTAGGTTTCCGGTATAGGGTGGTGTTTATGTGGCCATTGTTTATTAGCACTGTAGTGTCCAGGAAGTGGATCTCTTGTGTGGACTGGACCAGGCTGAGGTTGGTGGTGGGATGGAAATTGTTGAAATCGTGGTGGAATTCCTCAAGGGCTTCTTTTCCATGGGTCCAGATGATGAAGATGTCATCAATATAGCGCAAGTAGAGTAGGGGCTTTAGGGGACGAGAGCTGAGGAAGCGTTGTTCTAAATCAGCCATAAAAATGTTGGCATACTGTGGGGCCATGCGGGTACCCATAGCAGTGCCGCTGATCTGAAGGTATACATTGTCCCCAAATGTGAAATAGTTATGGGTAAGGACAAAGTCACAAAGTTCAGCCACCAGGTTAGCCGTGACATTATCGGGGATAGTGTTCTTGACGGCTTGTAGTCCATCTTTGTGTGGAATGTTGGTGTAGAGGGCTTCTACATCCATAGTAGCCAGGATGGTGTTATCAGGAAGATCACCGATGGATTGAAGTTTCCTCAGGAAGTCAGTGGTGTCTTGAAGGTAGCTGGGAGTGCTGGTAGCGTAGGGCCTGAGGAGGGAGTCTACATAGCCAGACAATCCTGCTGTCAGGGTGCCAATGCCTGAGATGATGGGGCGCCCAGGATTTCCAGGTTTATGGATCTTGGGTAGTAGATAGAATATCCCAGGTCGGGGTTCCAGGGGTGTGTCTGTGCGGATTTGATCTTGTGCTTTTTCAGGAAGTTTCTTGAGCAAATGCTGTAGTTGCTTTTGGTAACTCTCAGTGGGATCATAGGGTAATGGCTTGTAGAAACTCGTGTTGGAGAGCTGCCGAGCAGCCTCTTGTTCATATTCCGACCTATTCATGATGACAACAGCACCTCCTTTGTCAGCCTTTTTGATTATGATGTCAGAGTTGTTTCTGAGGCTGTGGATGGCATTGCGTTCCGCATGGCTGAGGTTATGGGGCAAGTGATGCTGCTTTTCCACAATTTCAGCCCGTGCACGTCGGCGGAAGCACTCTATGTAGAAGTCCAGTCTGCTGTTTCGACCTTCAGGAGGAGTCCATCTAGAATCCCTCTTTCTGTAGTGTTGGCAGGGAGACCTCTGTGGATTAGTATGTTGTTCAGAGGTATTTTGGAAATATTCCTTGAGACGGAGACGTCGAAAATAGGATTCTAGGTCACCACAGAACTGTATCATGTTCGTGGGGGTGGAGGGGCAGAAGGAGAGGCCCCGAGATAGAACAGCTGCTTCTGCTGGGCTGAGAGTATAGTTGGATAGGTTAACAATATTGCTAGGTGGGGTGAGGGAACCATTGCTGTGGCCCCTTGTAGCATGTAGTAGTAGGAGAGTGATCACTTTAGATAAGCTATTACCAGCAGGAGAGTGGGGTGGGAGGAGGTATTGTTTCATGGTCTCTGTGTATATAATGTCTTCTGCAGTTTCCACAGTATGCATCCGATGAAGTGAGCTGCAGCTCACGAAAGCTTATGCTCAAATAAATTGGTTAGTCTCTAAGGTGCCACAAGTACTCCTTTTCTTATGTGTTTTGTTTTCCTGTAATCTAAAATGGAAGTCATTCAGACTGAAAACATAGAACACAAGGTAAAATGAAGTGTGATTAACAGAGCATCATTGACAACACTGCTGACTGGATTCAAATCTCAGTGACACTGACATAAATCTGGGTAATGGCATAGACTTCAGTTAAACTATGTGGATGAATAAACATAACAGAAATCAGATTTTGCCCAGTTTTTGTAAGCTTTTCCATTGTTCCTATCTCCCCAAACCACAATTTAACCTCCTCTTTGTTGTGACATGAAGTAAAATAATTAAAATTAAGAAGTGCACTTTTGTGAGAGAGATAAGGAAGACATGATTAGAAGTATTTGACTCAAAGCCAGGCAAGTATGTGGCAGGTACCAATAGGCTGTGCTACCCTGGAGAAACTACTACTAAGATATTCAGTATTTTATTAATCTCCTCTGTACTGAGGAGATTAAAAAAATCTCCAATATATAAGCCAAAGGGGCAAGTTTAAAGACCATATCTTCAACAGACCTGTTGAACTGCATTTTTTTTTAAATTGCATGCACCCAGCCTGCAGCAAAGAGATGCACATGGGAAGTTCCAGATGGAATCCTAGATATCTCTTTGATAAATCTGATTTTAAAAGAGTGGGAAAACTAATATTTCTCCAGTTATCTGTTTCTGATTTAATTAGAATTATTTTCTGTTCCAATTAATTTTTCAAACAAGGGTCAAAAATGAGCTTTTTGACTTTAGACATCTTTAGCAATGGCATTTCACAGCATATAGCCTGAAAAGTTTCAGCTGTCCACCAATAATGCAAAAAATACCCATAGAATTGAGGGTAAGAGTGTGTTTCCTTTTCAGTGAAAAGTAACTAATCCACTATACTACAGTGATAGTGAATGTTATCCTGGTGGTCTGAGAAGTATGGACCTTTAAAATTACAGCTATGAGGCAATTTTGAATAGTCTTTAGTGGACTAAGTGGAAGAAGACCCTAGTAAGGGTAAAGTTTTCTGTTGGCATCTATAAAAATAGTTTATATACAAGTTGTCAAAAGTCATCAAGATGAAGCAAAAACTGAAGATCTTGAGGTTTTAAGATAACTTACAATAATTTAAAATGTGACAATGGAAAGCCGTGCTAAGATATGGCATATTTTGATTTACAAGAGATAGTTAACTGCATAACAATATTTTGTTTTAGGGGCGGATTTAAAATGTCATTATGTACTCCCTTTATTGCTTTATCTACAAAGTGAAAAGCATCCCTCACTATCACTGACTTATCTCCCATAGTGTTAACAGTTGGAATCCTGGGGTAGATGGGCTGCCAGAACTTTAAGCACTATTTTGATTCGATCTGCTCTGAGCAGGGTTTGATGCTATGAAGCTTAAAATGCTGGTGGCAGATGGAAGCCTAGTAATGTCATCCTTTCCACTTTCATAGCTCCTATGAATCTGAATGGTGATAGCAATTGTGAGAAATTACTTCAATATTCTCCTAGTATACACAAGGCTTATGTCACTACTTGCCTTACTGTGAAGAAGTTATAACACAATGACTTGTCTGTAAGGACATTTCAGGTTTTTTATTACTTCTCTTTGAGCAGCTTCATAAAATGGTGGACAAGCTATTTCAACTATTGTGTCAAGCAAATAACATAGCACTGTAAGGTTGCTGTAGGCATGATATTTTTAATGCTTTGTGAAATGAGAAAACATCATCTTTGATCCGCATAAGAGCTCTGAAATGTTTTTGTTTCAAGGATAAGCAATTGAGTGTTTAGTCTCTGGTCTTGACTGTATTGGCTGCTTTCTTGCAGACAGCTGTGGCCCTTGGAAATCTGTGGCATATAAGGGACAAAATAGTGGCAGGTTTCCCAAGATTCTTGGGAAGCTTGGACATTTTTTCAGCTGGTTTTATATGGTATATCTCAGCCTCAGTACCACCAAAATAATAAAGCTTTAATCAATATTATTGTGTTCCTCTAGCCACTTGTCTTTTACTCACAATTACAGATTGCTCTTGCTTTCAATATAAGTAATACCAAAACATTGAACCTTTAGGGTTGAATCTGGGAAAGTATCAGAACAGGAACAAATGTGAACATACAGGATGCAGCAGAGGGTGGGGGAGTCTATCTGGGTGTAATATACAGAACCATCATATCACAGACCAGGAATAATCACTGTCTAAACTACAGATGTGACTGTGCCTAGGCATAGCTTGGGGCATCTTCATGCCAGAAAGATGTCATCAATTCAAGAGGACTTCAGAACAGTGCAGCAAAACCTACATGTAATTACACTTTGCAAAATTACACTGTAGAATTTGTTTTTTTCTCAGTCAGGCCCAAGTAAAACAACACCATTTATCAGTATAAAGATTTTTTTTTCTTATTGCCAGCATTATACATTCAGCTTGGAATCTGAAATTCCAGCTGTGTTTTCCAACATCACTAATAAGCACAATTGTACAATTGAAACTTTGGAGCAAATCTAGTCTCCAGTACCGTGCAAACAGCAGGAAGACATGCAGGGAACAGGAATGCCATGGAGCAGCTTCAGTGCCAATCTGTAGTTTCTACTACAACCCTGAAACCACAGTAGCATAGGCAGGGTTAAAGCCACTGATTTACAATAAAAGATTAAAATAATTGAATAAGTGTAACTTAACTAAATGATCTGTATAATAAGATTCCAGGATTTGTCACTTTGTGTGTCACTCTGAAGCTTAGAATACCTGTTGAGTCAATGTAAAGCAAAGGGAAAAGCTACAAGCATGGTTGAAAGCTCAACTGGGATTTGCAGCTTGATATCCAATTTTTAAGTTTTCAGCCATTTTGCCTTTACCAATTGCATCCATGTAGTGTACTGTTTCAGTAAACATGTACAGTGGAGTCGCATCTTGTGCGAGGGTTAGGATCTAAAGTCAGTGCATAAGGCGAAAATCACGTATAGTCAAAATTACCCTTAAAAATCCCTTAAATAGCCCATAAAGTACAGTATACGATCCATGGTTTTGCGTATACAATCCTGCACAGTAATATGTATAAATGTATAATGTATACAGTAATGTACAGTATATAATGGAGTACATATGCAAAATATAATTTTACAGTACTGCATTTTTAATTATGGGGGTAATTACAGGGGGTTGTCAGGGCTTGATGTCGATCCAGGAGACGGAGAGCTTGGGTGATGGAGAGCAAGTCGTAGATGAAGTGGTTGGCTCTGGTTCAGCTCGAGAAGTTGATTGTGTAGGCTCATCTGCTGCTAGTTGTTTTTCCTTGAAAAACATGGTGATCAGAAACTGTCGCTGTTGTCTCGAGCCGCTCAAACATTTCTTGATATGGTCTCAAATTGTCCGTATTACTACGTGTGATTTTGAGGCTTTGTTCCATATAGGGATCGTATTCAGAAATTAAATCATTCAAGAGTTTCACTGCTTGGAACACTTCAGCAAATATATGAAGATTCCAATTTGCTGGCTCTTCCTGTTCGTCATCATCTTCGTCTTCTGTAGATGATTTTATCAGTTCCTCTAACTTTTCGCTAGTTAATGTTTCTTTATGGCTCTCAATTAATTCTTTAATTTCTCTCTCTTGAATCTTGATGGCATGGATGCTAGATTTGTTGTGGCCATATTTACGCGCCACATTGGAGACTGACATACCGTCTCTCAATAAGTCCAGCACAGAGAGTTTTTCCTCCAGAGTTGGAACATATCGCTCTTTCTTCAGCTGAGCACCAGATGAAGTAGTTGGCTTGCGTTTAGGAGCCATGTTATACGAAAAATACATATCTTTAAACACTAGAATCACACTGAGCGTGGCGAGATGCTCACACTATGAGAGGCATGTGGGAACTGAGACCTACTGAGGGAACAGCAGATTCATGTCTTCCATCTCAAGCTTACTTCGGGGCAGATGCTCATTGAGTGGAATGGTGGGCAGAATCACCCGCACTATTTACAGGTATCTTGTTATTTTTCTTTTTTCTTTGCTGAGCGTGTAGAGTTGAATTTGCATAAGTTAAATGCGTGTATGATGCGACTCACCTTGTATCTATGCAATGCCAAAAGTCCTACACCATTGTGATATCAGAGGTAACTCAAGTAATCACCATTCTGACTCTACAGTTAATTTGCATGCAACAATGCCATTGGTTGTATGAGGGAGACTGCACAGATGGTAGACTACTTGGCCCAACTGTCACACACACGTGACATCACAGGCTTTCAGGTACCAGTACAGTACAAAGTTATGGAGGTCTAATCACCTGCAAATATTTGAAAGAAAGATATTGATTAGAGTGATCCCAGTTAAATGATTGGTTAAACCAGAGCAATAGAAAATATAAACTGAAAATACACGGAAAATGATTTAATTGACTGGTTGATGAGATTGTGGAACAGTCTTTCAGAAGAAATGTTAGAAGCCCCTACATTTGATTCATGTAGTTAAAACTACAGTCATTCAGTCAACAGAATGAAAGACAAGTTCTTCAAGCCAAAGGATATGTGCAGGGATCAAATGTAACTGCATATCCTAATATAAATTATTCTTTTTATGAAATTATTCAATTACATAGATGTAGAATTAGCTC